AACAACACATTATAAAAGAACATATATGAAAAGAATAGGCCGAATTCTTTTACTTCAGGAATACTATTTGCCCATAAGGCTCTAGTATAGGGATTTATAATTAGTAAGACCTCATATAGTATCCCATTCATTAATAAAACAAATATGCTAATACTGTTTCCCAAATATTCTATATTCCAACATTTTTTACTAAGGCAGATTAGGCTTTCTTCAAATTAGTTAGAGTTAGTGACCTTTGCTTATAAGTCAAGCATATCTTTTATTCAAAAAAAGTTATTGAGATCCAATGGTTTGGAGAAATTAAAAAGTTCATGCTTAGCTAAACACATTGCAGTTAATTTTTAAAATCATACCATTTAGCAATAGAATTGGTTGAGTGACTTTTTTTTTTTAAAGACCCCACTCTGGGGAAGGCCAATTTGTAGATAAACAGCTCATACCTAGCAGCACTGCCTAGCTAATGTCTCACCTGTGGGAGTAGGTTGGAAGCAGCTCAAACAAATGAGGTTAACCTACATAATCTAATCACCCAGACTGAGCAAAAAAACAGACAGAAAGCACAGAGTCGGGGGCCTTCAATTTATTTCTAAATTTTTTCCGGCTTTTGTATGCTGGAGTGTCACCAAGTAGATGGTAGGTGTGTCCTTGCCCACTGTTCCTAGGTCCCCTTCTGATCCGCTTGTTGCATTTCTCCCAGTTAACTGACTGGCCACAGGCAAGATGCCTTTGAATACAAGATCAGCACAAGACATTCTAAAGAGCCACTTCCTGTTGGCGGGGTGGCTTCCTCTCATCTTCCTCTTACCCAAGCCCCCACTGGAAGGGAAGCCTGAGAGGTTGCAGCCAAAGACACACAGCTTGCCCTCCTTCCCTCAGGGAGGCCTGTGAGATCCCTAAGCTCCCAAAGTGGCTCAACATTCTCCTTGTGATTCACCAGTTTCTAAAGACTGACTCCATTGTAAGCCCGCAGTGGTGGTGCACGCCTGTAATCCCTGCATTTTGGGAGGCCGAGGCCAGCAGATCACTTGAGGTCAGGAGTTTGAGATCAGTCTGGCAAACATGGTGAAACCCTGTCTCTACCAAAAATACAAGAATTAGCCGGGCATGGTGGTACACACCTGCAATTCCAGCTACTCAGGAGGTTGAGGCAAAAGAATCTCTTGAACCCAGGGGGCAGAGATTGCAGTGAGCAGAGATCCCACCACTGCACTCCAGCCTAGGTGACAGAGCAAGACCGTCTCAAAAAAAAAAAATTTACTACACTGTGAAATCCTTCTAGAGATACCTAGCGTAAAGAGGGTTGCTGGGAAAACCAACTAAACTTGACTACTTAGAGAAAATGCATATTTTAATGAAATTTGGAGCAAGACCTCTCTGAAACTACATTTTACTTTTGTGATACTCCTTTTGAAATTTGGAGCGAGACCTCTCTGAAACTAACATTTTACCTTTTGTGATATTCCTTGTGAGGTCAGAAAAATCTGTCATTTTGTGCAAAGTGGAAATATGCTGTTTCATTATAATATGTACATGCTCATTATAAAAGCCTTCGACAATACAGGAATCTATAGAGAAGAAAGTATCATTCTACCACTCAGAGGTAACAACTCTTAGTGTTTTGATATAAAGCTTCCTAGATTTTTTTTTACAGCTTTATAAACACTCAGATAACTATAGGGCATCTAAAAAATAGGATCAGATTATATACACTATTTTATAATGTGCCTTTTTACAGAATTTATACATGAACAGGTATACATTCTCATTATAATTTTTAATTGCTTCTTAGTATTTCATTGTATGTGTGCCATTTATGGTTATTTCCCATTTTTCATGAATAGAAAGGACGTTCTTGTATGTTTTTTTAACCTGTGTTTTCCTGTGTCTTTGCTATGAATACTTAAAACGGATTGTTGTGTAAAATACTATGTACTTTTACAAATTTTGATAATAATTGCAAAATTGCTCTTCAGAACAGTTGTATCAATTTTCTTGCCCACTAATGTTGTGGGTGAGTGCCCATGTCTCCACACCATTTGAAGTCATACAGATTAAAGACTGGGTACATTGGCTTACACCTGTAATCCCAGGACTTTGAGAGACAGCGGCAGGAGAATCACTTGAGGCTGGGAGTTTGAGACAAGCCTGGGCAATGTAGCAAGACCCTGTATCTAAAAAAAAAAAAAAATAGAAAAAAGAAAAAGACATTGCAGGCGTGGTGATGCACCCACTTAATAGGGTCCAGCTACTCCAGAAGCTGAGGCGGAGGATTGCTTCAGTCCCAGGAGTTCAAAGGCTGCACTGAGCTATGATCCACTGCACCCCACCGCAGGCAACAGTAAGACCCTGTATACAAAAAAAAAAAAAGAGAAAGAAATCACACAGTTAAAAAAGAAGTGGTCTCTCTCTCTCTCTGTCTCTTCCATCCTGTCTCTTCGATCTCTTCCCATCTCTGTCCTTCTCTCTCTCTGTCTCCTCTCATCTCTGTCTCCCCACTCTGTCTCATTCTCCACTCTCCGTCGACAAGGCTGCTCCCCTCCACCAACTTCTCACTCCTGGCTTCTCCTATCTCTCGACTTCACAGGGATCTGATGCCAGCAAGGCCTTGAGCGAGGTCTGGGCTTCCTACTGCTTCTTGGTTACAAGCCTCGTCCTTCCCTGTATCTGTCTTCATCCTGGCCTAATGAGTCCACATTTTATTTAGGGAGAGGGCAGAGTGACAACCCTGGGTTGGGGGGGGACAAATCCTGCAGGTCGCCCTGCAATGACTGAGTATATCTGGTTGTCTGTAGAACCAGGCTTAGTATCTCCCAATAGCAAAGTTAGTTAGTAGGACGTAACTATGGGGAATTAGAGTGAACCATAATAATGAGTGACCAAGTGTAGAGGTGTAAGTTCAACATTGCCCGAAATCACAAAGGGCGACTCTTGCCAAGCTAGGTCTTCCTATGAGGAAGTAAAAGAGTTGGGAAACCTACTGTGTTGGGGGATGCGTCGGGAAGCGAGGTGTCTATGGGGTTTTTGAGGGAATAAAGTCAGTTTAAGATGAAGAATGGTGAGCGAGCGGCGACAAATACTTGAGGAGGTGTTGATCCTCTTAGAGTAGACTGCCACCCCGCTACCTGAAGCAGTTACCTGTAGGCTCGGCGGGGTGAACAGGGGTCTCCAAGTGACAGAGACAGAGGAGAGACAGGAGGATGGGAAGAGACAGAGAGAGATGACAGCAGATGGAGAGAGGACAGGTGAGAGAAGAGAAAGACAGATGCGGAGAGACAGATGACAGAATGGAGACGAGACAGAGAGAGAGAGACAGATAATGAGGAGAGACAGAGATGAAGAGAGACAGAGTGAGACACCTGAGATCTTCCTTTTTGCTACTCCTATGCCAAACTCTTATGGTGTAGCTGCACATAAACTCCCCAGCAGAGACCCAGACGGCCCCTGCTTGGAGGCTACCTTTTGGTGTAACCAAACTCTATCTAAAAACTCTTAACCATACCTACATCCACCGACATCATTGGACAGTCCTATCCTTTAGTGCCTAGCTTAACCCATACATAAGGCGAAGGAGAATTGTCTGACTAGCTTCCGCGCTCAGCTCCCAGCAATAACAATCCAAAAGCGGGCTGTTTTTCTTCCCCTTAATTATCGCGACGGTCTTCCCCTAGCTCAAACACAATTTTAACGCCCCCTTAACCCCCCGACCACCGGTATGGCTACCGCACTGTATACAGCGATCGACTTCCATTCTAAAATTTCCCATACTAATCCTCTGCCTACTATGTTATCGATCTTGCTCCCATTCTACATAAAATTTTTTCCAAGCCAAGGTCCAGAGATCACCCGAGTCCCTTCAACCAAAATGCTCCCTGCGATCCCTACAATCCCAACTGCCAACCCAGACCCGTAACTACGCCCCCTTACAACCAGCAGGTTAAGCAGCCTAACAGACAACGGCGCCCTAAATTACTTATAATCCAATAAGAGGTTTGGACTGTTTGCCGGTGGTGAACAGGAAAGAGGAGCCCTGATGGAGGGAAAGGTGAACACGATGCCCGAAGCAGTCCCTGTTGTTTCCGGTTCTTCACTCACAGATTTTCCCTGCGACCCGGGAAAGAACCCAAATCACACTGAGCATCCGCGCGTAAATGACCAAGCCGGGACACTGAAATTCAGAATGCCACTCCCTAATGCCCACACGCCTGAAACTCCTCCCCTTCCGCTCTGGCAAAAAGGCCCCTGCTGGCCGGGCAGGACCGTCGTTGACTTCATTCGCCCTGGATTTGTGGACCGGGACATCAACCCCAGAGCGCTGGCGCGACTTCCCTGGCCTCACCAAGCACCCTGAGGACCCAGAGAACTTTCGCCCGAGAGTGTGTGCATATTGCAATAAAAGACTGCCCATCTTTCTTTTTTTTTTTTTTTTTTTTTTTTTAGAGAGAGTCTCTGCGCTCTGTCACCCAGACTGGAGTGCAGTGGCGCGATCATCGCCTCACTGCAAGCCGCGCTCAGGTTCACTGCCATTTTCTCCCTGCCTCAGCCCTCCAGAGTACAGTCTGGACTACAGGCTGCGCCCGTCCCACCAAGTACCCCCGGCTACAGTCTTGTTTGCTGATTTTTTAGTAGAGAGACGGGTTTCACCATGCTTCAGCCATGGATGGTCGCGATCTCCTGGACCTCGTGAGCCCCCGCCTCCGGGCGCCCAAAGTGCTGGATTACAGCCTTGAGCCGACCGCCGCCCGGCCAAGACTGCCCACTTTCTTACGTAAAAAAAAAAAAAAAAAAAAAAAAAAAGAAGTGGTATTTTAGAGGGCACACATTTTATGAATTTAGGGTCACTGAGGGCTTTATATGGGTGCAGAGGCTGTGTTCCTGATTGCCGAAAAGGTCACCATTATCTAACCAGCACATTCATTTGTTTGCCTGAGAGTTAACTCAGGTTTCCCTTTTACAGCCCACCGTCATATTTTAAACTCTCCGCATGTGTTCCTTTCCTTCAGATTGAGGAAGACACGTGGCAGAAATACTACTTGGAAGGAGTCTCAAATGAAATGTACACAGAATATCTCTCCAGTGCCTTCGTGGGTCTGTCCTTCCCTACTGTTTGTGAGTAAGTGACCATTAACTGGATACTCTTTGGCTCTCAGGGATATCGAACGTGCCCCTTGCAAGAAAGCCTCCCACCTCTGCTGGGTACAGCCGGGGCACTTGACAATTGCTAAGGGTATCCTGTGTGCTTGGCCCCATGTGAGGAACAGAAGGGTGGGTCATCACATGGTCCCCGCCTCGGGAATTTCCACTGGGCCCAGTTTTCTTGACAGGCTCAGCTGAGAGTCTTGGACTTGGAGTCATCATTTATGCTAACTTATGAACTACAGTTATCCTGCATGCCTCCTGTGATGTAGACACATTTATGAATACAGGCATAACCCCCTGCCTGTCTGATTCTGATAAGGCAAAACAAATCTTGCCAGCCCCTCAATGAAAGGAATTTTAATCTGTCTTCCAATCAAGTCTGATCATAGAGACAACAGAGAAGCTACTGCAATAAAGCCATTCAAAGTGCTTTCACCCTTTGCTGAGGAAATGTGGAACCAAATATACAGAAGGAGGCCTTGAGCCCCCACAGAGGCAACTGCCATGTTATAATAATAACAAGTCTTAGCTTCTCTTTCTACTGGCTCAGCAGGATGGATCAAAGCCACCTGCCATGGCCACTGCAGGTAGAATAGATGGTCACCTATGGGGGATGACCTCAAGAGCTCTAGGTGTCTGCCGTGAGGCATGACAGTGCCTCAGATTCCTCACTTAGAATCCTCATGTCTGTAATCACAGCACTTTTGGAAGCTGGGGTGGGAGGATCACTTGAGGCTAGGAGTTCAAGACTAGCCTGGTGTCTTGAACCAGGTGTGTGGTGGCACACACATATGGTCCTAGCTACTCTAGAGACTGGGATAGGAGGATTGCTTGAGCCCAGGAGGCTGAGGCTGCAGTGGGCTATGATTGCGCCACTGTACTCCAGCCTGGATAACAGTGAGATTATATCTCTAAAATAATAAAAAAATAATAATCTCAGATGTTGAGTTTAAGATGAACAGGGTCTTTGTGCCCATTGAAAACACAAACTCCCTGAGGTTGGTGAAACATTAAGCCTGATCTCCTGACACCTCAGCAAAGGATTTGACAAGTATTCTTCTCACTGGGGAAAAACAGGGGGATCTGGGAGCTCACTGGGCTGAGGAAGAAAAGCCATTTGCTTGGGCTTCCTGCCTACTTACAAACCAAATCACCTTCCCGAAAGAGAGGTCTGAAGACATCCAGACAAAACCGATTGGGCTTTACCACAAAGGAGAGGACAATCCTGGGTGCCCTTGGCCTCCTCTGTATCGCGGTTTTCTTTCTGTATGCAGGAGGGAGGGAGGCGGAGCGCTTGGTGTTTACCTGGAGCCTCCTGTCACTGAACGCAGCAGGTGCACTCTGTCAGTCCCTGGGCCCAGACCCTAAGCAATCCAAAATGGTTTGGCTGTTTACTGAAATTTCTCACCCTGTCTCTAAGCGAAAGTTTAAATGCTAAATGGACTGGAAAAATGAATAGGTAATTGATTCGGAAGGAGTTATTTTCTGAAAATGGATGCCCTATTGTGACTCCCATGTGTGCCTTTCTTTGAGAGCTATTTCTCTTCCTGCCACTGAGAGGAGTTAACCATTCGGAGGCATTGGGTCCTGGAACACTGAGGCTGTCCCAGGGGATCTCCCCCTCCTTGGAGCTTGGCCTGCCTAGGAATAGAAAGCCCCGGGGGAAAGCAGGCTTTTTAACGGAAGCTAGTTTTATAAAAAGGCAATTGAAGCCTTGTCTTTCTAATGTGGTGGTGGTCTGAGCACAGAGACGAGCTGCCAGCGCCTGCAGGGAGTCTTAGGCTGGTGAGGGCATCAGCAGGGGCTCCGTCAAGCCCCCTTCCTTGGCTGTGGAGTTTCCCTGGCCTAACTGGTGTTTGTGTCTAACAAGAGTGCTCCCTCCCCAACCCCCAGGCCCTTCTTGCTTTTCCGCCCTTCTCTTACTCTGCTCCTGGTAACTGAATGGGTTCCTCTCACGGGTAACTTGAAGGGTTAGGACTGCTCCCCCTACAGGCTCTAAATGAGATACTTACAAGGTACGTTTGACTACATTAGTGTTTAATTTCGTAAAAACTAATTGCTGATATTTCAAAATAGTGGTATTTCACGTAAAAACTAGATTTCTGGCTTCTTTAGAAAATCTAATGTGACAGTGCAAGACCTACATTTCCTCTGAATGCTAACTGGCTCCAGTTTGATGCAGCAAAGGGGTTGGTGTAGTCATGTAGTCACTCCTCCCTGATACCTTAAACCAGACCAGATTCACACATAAATCCCAGGCCTGGCCCTGTGGATGTGTGAGTTTGCCAACCCTGACCCACTGGGTGGTATAGAACTTCACTGGCCTTCAGCCAGCTCAAGAGCTGGCACTAGTGGCTCTGTGAATATTCCCTTTGATTGATTTTAGTATTTAGAACATGTCCCAAGGAGGAGACAAATTGTTGTCAGATAATTTAGTATTTGCTCAGTAAAGCTTCTGGAATATATATATATCCCACTTCTGGGGGGATATATGTATCCCAAAATATATATATATATCCCACTTCTGATGTGAGTGAGAATGTGTACAACTTAGTGCTATTATTCGTTTAATACAATGATACAGCAGAGGTAGAAATGATCAATAAAGGAAGGACATTTAATGAGATTTAGGAACATCCCAAAACATTGAAGCTCTCCTCAAGCATTTGATTATCTGGAGGCTTAATTATCTGTGTTTTCTACTTTAAATTAAAGAAAAGCCATAACTCAAAGTTACCAGCAGTTTAATGATAACACTCTTCAATTCAGGTTAATTAAAGCACAGCCGTAATTAGAGTGTAGTGTTGTACATCACTGGGCTGGCACGTAAGTATTTTCATTACAGTAAGAATTGGCTATTCAATTTCAAAATGACATAAAGGATGCCAAAATATATTTTAAGCTGGTTCACGGAGAAGAAAAAGAATTGGGGAATATTCTGAGTATCATAAAGCACAGATAAAATATACAGATTTTCCGAGCAGTTTCTGTAATTATACGCTGCACTAAAACAATATGCAGCCAATAACATCTTAAAGCATGGAAAGAAATAAATGTGCTTTTTCTCTGGGCTGGCAAAATGCTCCCTTGCAGGGTGGGATTGGGAGAGCTTGGAGTTTTCTCAGAAGCTAGGAGAGTCATTCTATGAAAAGATATGGGAGCAGGATGTAGGGGTGAAATTTGGGTTGTTTCCCAAAAGAACAGGAAGGAGAACAAAAGAGGCAGTGGAGTCAGAAGGTCCTGCCACCCCGAAAGCTATCTCTGTGAAAATTTCAAGCCAAGAGATTCTCAGTGTAGCCTTCACTCTGTGGCTGAAGGCCCAAGAGCCCCTGGCAAATCACTGGTGTAAGTCCAAGGGTCCAAAAGCTGAAGAACTTGGAGTGTGATGTTCAAGGGCAGGAAGCATCCAGCACAGGAGAAAGATGAAGGCTGGAAGACTCCACAAGTCTAGTCCTTCCACATTCTCCTGCCTGCATTATCCTAGCCATGCTGGCAGCTGATTAGATGGTGCCCGTCCAGAGTGAGGATGGATCTACCTCTCCCAGTCCACAGACTCCAATGTTAATCTCCTTTGGTAGCACCTTCACAGATATGCCCAGGAACAATACTTTGCATCCCTCAGTTCAATCAAGTTGACAATATTTAACCATTACAGGTGCTTACCCCAATTTCCTTCTCTGAAATAGGAGTGCTATGACTTATCTGTCAGTACTGGTTAATGTCTTTTCTCCCTCTCCCTCCTCTCCTTTTCCCTCTACCATTTATCTTTCTCGTTGAATATAATAGAAACACTTAGAAAGAAAGAAACACATTGCGAGCTATATGTGTATCCAATTTATATTTACTTTTAACCTTTAGGAAATTCTCTTATCAGTTAGTCACCAATTAAACAGATATTTAATGAATTGAGATATGTGTATCATTGTGCCAAGCTTGGTGCCACTTCTAGAGGAAACTGCCTACTAGATTTGATCAAATATGTGCATGAAAAGACTAATAGCAATACTTACAAATGCCAACAAATGCCAAGTAAAATATTCAGTTTGCCTGGGTTGGCTGCCTCCAGAGTTCACGGTCTGGCTAAGGAACATCTGGCTAAGGTACCCATCCTCAGAAGACCTAGGCGCCCACTGATAAGTGCTTTGGTAGATGCACACAGCTGGGATAGAGATGCTGAGAGTTATAGGGACATCTCCCTGTAGGCTGGGGGGACATGGGGGTGCTTCCTGGAAGAGATGACATTTGAGCTGTGTCTTGTCAGGAGTTTTGATTCAGATGGGGGATAAAGAAGGAAGAGGATATTCTAAGTGGAGGCTGCGCCACATAGTACCATAGGGAGCTCTCTCAACACGTAGGTCTCCGAGATTTTCCAGTTAGAGCAAACTGATTTCCTCTTTAGATGAGAGAAAGAGATGCATCAGATTTATTTTGACTTGTGATTTTCTTTTTTGGAAACTGATAACAGTGTTTTTTATGCACACTTGCAAAAGTGAGGGTGCACTCCCCTACCCCAGGGAGGGCAGAGGGGAGGGGAGGGGCTGGACAAGGAGGAACTGCAGGAAACCACAGGTTCAGCAGTTGGGCTGCCTCAAGAACACTGTGTTCTAGGTTCTGAATTTCACGGTGAGCTTGTTAGTCGGTCATTCATCATTTGCAAAATATAAAAGCTGAATTGTATCTGGTTTTACAGCTCAGAGGGGATTAGGACAAAAGATGTATTTAAAATATGGTGTGTGTCTCTCTCTGTCCCTCTGCAGCTGATGGAGCAGTTAAAATTCAGATTTGATGTGGAGTATTTAATGCCTGGGTAACTTGGCAAACTCCGATCAGATCTTCCCCAGCTGTGCTGAAGGGCAGGAGTTCTGTCCCCAAGCCCACGGGCTAGTATGGATGCTACTGTGCTGGTTTAAGAGTGCAGGGGGATTCTCTATTCCCTCCTCTACTCCCTGCATTCAGTGTTCCCCTCCCAAATTC